GGGGTGCGGGTTGTACGCGGGGGAGCTGGGGTGGGCGGTGAGGGAGGGCTGCAGGGCGGTGCTGGGCCGCGGGCACGTGGAGGGGACGGGAGAGGCCTGTACCGGTGAGCACGGCGTGGTTGTCTGAGGGAGGGTGGGCCACGGTCTCGGTACGAGGACCTTCGGGGTGTGGAAGGGGTGAGGGAGCTGGGAAGGGATGAGTGCCCCTGTCCGTTGGGGAGGTGGGAGACTGGTTTGTTTTGGTTTTTTTTTTTTTTTTTTAGGAGAACTTAAGCGTTGGGCTTTTTGGGGAGGTCTTGGTTGGATGAGGGAGCATGGACCGCTTGGAGATGCCCTGTTCGTTGAGTTGTACGATAGGGAAAGTCATGGCCCGTTGGGGCAGGCAGGGGAGCATATACTGGTCCTGCAGAACCTGGGTTTGCTGACTGAGGTGTCGTTGTAGCTGTGCCTCCGAAGACAGAGGCAAAGGCCAAGGCACTGAAAGCCAAGAAGGCCGTCCTGAAGGGGGTCCACAGCCACAAGAAGAAGAAGATCCGCACATCGCCCACCTTCCGCAGGCCCAAGACCCTGCGACTGCGGCGGCAGCCCAAGTACCCACGGAAGAGTGCTCCACGGAGAAACAAGTACGTGTGGGGTGTTGGGCTCTGCCCTGCTGCAGGGCTCCCAGAGTGGGAGCAGCCCCACGCGTGAACTGGCATGGGACATGTGCCGTTCTGCAGGTCCCTGGGAGCTGAGCCCCACCTTGGCAGAGGAGGGGGTGTTTGGGGTGCAGGTGATGATTTCAAGCGACCAAAGTCTGAGAGTTTGTGATGAGAACTTTTTTTGGCAACTGATGCACCCCATACTTTCTTAGATGGTACCTGTGGTATTTAAAAGCCCCTGAAGTGCAGAGGTGGTGTCTGCCAGCCTTCTGTTAACCACAGGGTCTCTTCTCCTGCAGGCTGGACCATTATGCCATCATCAAGTTCCCTTTGACCACAGAGTCGGCAATGAAGAAGATAGAGGATAACAACACTCTGGTTTTCATTGTCGATGTCAAGGCAAACAAGCACCAGATCAAACAGGCCGTCAAGAAGCTGTATGACATCGATGTGGCCAAGGTTAACACATTGATTAGGTGAGGAGAGGAGGAGAATAGATCACTGGGGGGGTGTGAGATGCTTCAAGAGCCCAGAGTGGCTTTTAGCAGAAAATGTGAACACGTGTGGGTTTCAGCAGTTGTGGGATTAAGCTCTGTAGCGTTTTCAGTGTCAGTTTTGAGAAATACAACTTGTGACCGAGCACATCTTAGTGGAAGTGGGAAATGTTGGCAGACCAGAGAGTCAGCTTCATCAGGGAGCTCTTCTAACCCCTAGGGAGTCTTGTGCAAATGATGTGAACATTTTTTTACCACTGAGTAAAGTGATGTTTCCAAAGGAACCACTGATGCACACCGCTATAGCAGGAATGTGGAGCAGGTGGAAGGAGTTGTGTGCCTCTGTTCTAATGCCTCCTGTTCCTCTCTAGGCCTGATGGGGAGAAGAAGGCTTATGTCCGACTGGCTCCAGATTACGATGCACTGGATGTAGCCAACAAGGTGAGAAATCTTTGAAACTGTGCAGCTCCCGTTAGCTGTCTTGTATCTCCTGCGCTGGGTTGCACTGGGTTGTTCTTCCTGGCATAGGTGTGAGGTACTTGTGCTTCGAGCACAGCAGCACTTCTGTGGAGCGTCCCTTACTGGTGTTCTTAGCCAGCTTGTTAGAGCAGGGGGAATGATGTCAGAGGCAGCGCTGCGCTGCTGGCCTGGGTGAAGGAGGGGTTTCCGCTGTGCGGGTGGCTGCGCCTGGAAGCGGCGGTTTAGTCCTCGAGGTGGTTGAGGAAGGCAGGAGGCAGCGGTGGTACAAACCGGAGTAGGGGAACGTGGCTTAGCACAAGGGTCACCGTGGAGTGAATGTATAGAGCGGTTGTGTAAGGCACTTGGACGGGTCTGGGAGGAAGACGCCTGTCGTCGGAGGACAGGAATCCTGGGGAGATGTGGCCCTGGCAGCGATGTCTGTGGCAGAGGCTCTGCCCTTCTGCTGCTGTAACATCTGTTTTAACGTGCTTTGCTTCTTTCCAGATTGGGATCATCTAAACTGCATCTACCAAGGACTGTACAGACAGGATAATAAACCCTGTGACACCACTGAGGGGCCTTTGTGTTTTGTGACAGCATAGCCAGTGCGAAAAAGAGCGCCCAGCAGGCTTTTGGGGCTTTGGTTCAGTGAAGGGGTCCCTCCCTCCCTCCCTCCCTGGCACTCGGTGGGCAGAGCTCACTGCTCTGGGAGAGGGCTGTGCACGCTGTCCTGCACCTGGGGCCTTGCCGCTGGGGTCTCCTGGGGCACTGACATGTTCTCTGTGCTTGGGTAGATATCCATGAGGTGACACTGCCCCCCAAATCTCAGATACCTGTTTACCCGAGACCTCTGCTGTCCTCCTGCATTCTGTCGCCCTGTGTAATTACCACGTTTGTGATCAATGTTCTCGGTATCCTGTGTAGCTTCCTTGTCGAGTGTGCCACGGGCCAATGAGTGCCCAGGAGGTAGGTAGTAACCACAACAGAAATGTGTTCATGGTTCAGATCTGGCGCAAGTGGAGTGTCACACCATTTTCCCACCGTATGAGCTACTTATGCTGCAAGCTTCACTTGAAGCCCTCAGGCTAATCCCATCGCAAGGGCTTTGTGTGGGGTATTTTTTTCTGGCACGATCCCTACTCCCTGCACTGCCGTGTGTGAATCGCAGCCTGGGTCCCCTGACGCTTCCTGCTAAGGTTGCCTGTAACCTCATGGGGTTCACGGCCTCAGCAGGCCTGTTTCCAAACCAGCTGCTGCCTTGGCAGTCCTCTGCTCCCTCAAATTTGTAGATGAAAAAGGCTTTTCGGAGTGCCTGCAGAGTCACAGGAGTGCTGGGCAAGTGGGGAATGGAGGTAAAAGTACAGCTAGGCCTCTAGGGGTACTTGATCTTAAGTATGTAGTTAGAGAAAGGTGATGAAAGCTATGAGCAAATATTGATGGGGGTAATTAAGCTCTCAGGCAGTGGGACACCGAGTTCCTTCGAGCCTCTTGCAGTGGGTGGTGGAGTCCTGGGGCGATGGTTTCAACACGGTGGTGGCAGATGGGAAGGGGGAGCTGTCCTGGTAGCTGCAGCTCTTGGGACCTCGGGGTGAAGATCTGTGCTGGGTTGCGCGGTCCCTTGGCTTGGGACACCTCACGTGGTGCCCATGGCTCCGGGTGCCGGGGCAGTGCGGCTGGATCAGTCGGGTACGCTGCAAGCTGCCTGCCATGGCAGGGTGACGGGGAGGCACCGGGGCAGGCTGCGGGGCGGCTGTACGCGTGGGAGGACGGTGGGGCTGCG